GCCTCGGAGTGGGGAGGGGGAGGAGCCACCAGCACTCAGGGCTCCAGTGGCTGAAGCTCTGAGAGCCTGCAGCTCCCCACCCTCCTTGCCCCAGTGTAGGAATGAAGTTCAGCCCCGCAGCATGCAGGGTGGGGAGGGAAGGGTAGCTGCCAATGCTTGGAGCTTCAGCAGCTGAAACCTTGAGCACTGGTGACTCCTTTCCACCCCCTGCTGCAGGAGAAATATGGGACAATGTGCCCGTCGTTTAAAAGAAGTCGGGATGCCAGAAACAGACCTTAAATACTGGACTGTCGCAAGAAAAATGGGACAGATGGTCACCCTACTTTGGCATGGTATTTTCAGTACCCAAACCCCCAAACTGAAGATTTGCCACAAATAAGGGGCCTATATCCCCTCTCTGAATTAGAAACCACATTTTACTTCACTTTTGAAAACACCAAAGCAAACTGACAACAACTGGGTTCAACAGTTTACCTGTCCCCTTGTGCCCACTATTCTTGTTCCTGGCAAAAATTAGTTGAGGTGATTATGTGAAGATTTAGCTCCAGATGTTAAACTCTAGATTAACCAACAAGTGGCATCCAAACCAAAAAGGCTGAAATGTTGGGAGAATAACCACCCCGTGGATTGCAATTCCAAAGTACTTGCATACAGTCAAGGATAGCTAACACTAGTGGTAGCTGCAACAGTGCCACACTGTGCTACTGCTGGGATTAAATTGTGTGACCACCTGACCCAGTAGTCTCCAAAAGTTTCAGCACTGGGAGCATCTGGCTGATATCTGCTCAGTAGCATAGATAAGAGTTGTGGGGAGGGAGGTTAGCTAGGGTCACCATTCTTCCGGGATTGGCCTGGGGTCTCCAGGAATTAAAGATTAATGTTTAATTAAAGATTATATCATGTAATTAAATCTCCGGGAATACATCCTATCAACATTATTAATTGTTTTTGTCAACAATTTCAGATATGAAGCTAGCACTTATACTACTCCCGCCCCGCAAAAAGAATCCCAAACAAACAAAACATTTTCAAAATTCATCAGCATTGAACAAAGAAACCACAAGGAAACAGAAAAAAGCTTCCCTTGATTATTAAAAAAAATATTCTCTCTCTCAATGAAGTAAGCAGGAATAAAGGCATTAGATCAGATACCCAGATGGCATAATTCAAGGTAGTTCCATTTAATTCAGTAGGTTAAAAATTCATGATTGATAATAATTGGCAATACAGTTAAAGATTTGGTCAGGAAGATAATATTAGGGTCTTTGGTGAAAGCTGTTTCAATGGAGGGAGAAATCAGATTAAAAGAGTCTAGACGGGATTTGGAAAAAAGGAATTCCAGACATCAGTTGTAGACAGTATGTTCAGTGCTCTTGGAAATGAATGGGAGAGGAGAGAATGTAGTTGGAGAAGTGGAATCAAGGAGTTTTTTTTATGAAGAGGAAATTAGAGCATACTTTAATTTGAAGGAATGAATCATTGGAGAATAAGGGATTGAAAGAAAATATTAAGAAAAAGAGAAGGGAGAGAAGTGAGATTAGAATGGGAAGAAGGGAAATGGTCGCTGGAGCAGTTGGAGTAGTTAAAGGAGGACAGCAAACAAGAAATCTCAGTTTTGGTAGTGGGGGAGGGGAGGGGAGAGGGTGATTTGGAGAAAGGAGTAGAGGGAAAAGGGATAACTTATCATATCTTGTTGATTAAAAAATTAGTGACATCCTGACCTTAGGTGGGAGCTATGGATAGGGTTAAAGGGGGAGGCAGAGTTGTAAGACAAGCGTTGTGGTTGAAAATTAGCAAGGGTGGAATTGAATGAGAATACAGAAGTGGTGCTTCTTGGCTTCTGAGATGGAAGAGCTGAAGAAGGAAAGAATGATGCCATAGTGGTGAAAGACAGTATGGTTGTAGCACTGCCATCCAGGATGTTCAGCTGGATGAGTTCAGGAACAGAGGAAGTTGTTGGTGAATGAAGCCAACATTGTGGGTTGGTTGGAGGTAACCTTGCAATGGGAGAGAGCGTATGAGTCAAGGGTGATGGAAAACAGTGAGATAGGGATAAAGGGTAACAAAGCGGTGGGGAAAATAGTTTCTGAACCTGAAAGCTCTTACCTTCCCTAGCAAGCTTTGGATCCAGATTCCAGACTGGATTCCAAATCTAAATGATGGGTTTAGATCTAGATTTCCTGATATGAACAATCCTCAATTTCAGGGATATTCAGATGAGAAATTTAAGCTCAGATTCCTTTCCTTTTTACCATTAATATTTGAAATATAAAGAAATTTTAAGCCTCCCAGGATCCCAGCAAAACAGAAGGGACTTAAAGTGAGCAGGAAAAAAAAAGATCATTGCATGTTTTATTTTAAAATATAGCAAGAGATACAGAAATTAACATAGGATACAGAAACTCACAACCACATAAACTGCAGCAAAGTCAGTAGCAGTTGTGCTATACTAAGGGCCGAGTAACACTTGCAGGATTTTCAACCCTTATATAACGTAAAAATTTCTTTATTGGACCACTTGCATAACTAATCTAATCTAATGTAATATATGGCAGCATATTTTTTTAAGTACGTGCTTTGTTATCACATGGTAGACTAAAACCTAAGGGCCAAGTTCTGCTTTTTTATGCACATGCCTGACTTTTATTGAAGTCAATGAGAATTTCATAGGCATCCAAAGATAAATTGACCTTAATTGGATGGAACATATACAGGGTGGTATTTTGAAAAGTGCTCACAGTTGGCCTAACTCCATTAAGTTTCATGGAAGTAGTTAGACCTACTCAGAGCACTTTTCAAAATACCACCCATTATGCACAATTGCAGTTGTCCTTACAGACACCATCCGTTTTTGACAACTTAGCAAATCCATTGGCATTGTAAAGTTTAAGAGTTCAGTTCCAACCCCCGGAAAAAGGAATGGGCCTGTTGAATGGCAAAAACAAGTTCAGTATATTTCACACTTGCTTATGTACTAAAATACTTCATGATACAAATAGCCACAGAAATAGTGAATCGTCTTATGTATAAGTAAAGAATATTCTATATGTCATTGGTTAAATGAGTTTGCATCTGGCAAAGATGCTGGCTAAACAGTGTGATCCATACATACTCTTATTTATTCTTTTCTGTAGACAAAATTCAGATTCAGAATAAAGAAATATGTCCTTAGTAAAAATGGCATATTGAGCATGTTGTAATTCTACAGCTCCAAATGTCTATTGCATTTAGCTTGGTTGTCTATTATAGGCTGAAACAGAAATTACTAAGAGCTTGGTCATGCCCTCTGAAGTCAAATAATTCAACATCAAGATTCTGGATTGGTTTTGGATCTATCTTGACAGCTAGAGCCTTAGAATACTGTTCCATGTTTATGTCACAATTAATCTTCACTTATTCCATATGAAAATTGTGTATCTTGTTTTCTCATGCATTTTTGTGCTAGTTCCTATAAATTCGAAACAGACACTAACAACTGATATTTGATGAGTTTCCAAATTCATGCCAATGAAACCTACATATTGGATGATCACGTGTTCCAAATTTTATTTTATATAACCCAAAGGTACAATTTCACCCATTACTTTGAATGATCAGGATACTTATTAAAGGAGGATTCATATGAAAAGAATACATGGTTATGTGATATACTCCAAAAGTTTTATTGACATAAGTTCAGGATAACTGCATTACTTACAAGTGGTGATACGATATAAGAGTTATGCTGATGATCCCAACTGGGAGCCAACAAAACTTTTATACTCTATACTGCATTATTATTAATTCTGTATATACCATGGCCCAAATCCTGGCCCAAACAAAGTATCCTTTTGCATTGCTCTGGCAATGCAAAGGGAACTTAAAGATGTTCTAGCCCAACTACCTTGCAGATTTTACTCAAAACACCACACACATATTAAAGGGCCAAATTCTGCTTTTCTGATGTACACATGAGCTTTGATAAAGAGGATTAAAAATGGGTAAAACTTACTAGAATAGGTCTACAGGCAGAAAGCAATAGTCTTGCTGGTTTTGGAATATATTAAAAAGTCAACAGTAAAACTATTCTCTCTCATAGATTTCTTATTTCTTTTTGTTCCCTTTGGGTTTTCAAACTCCTTTCAATAATCTCTAACTTAAAGAACTCCTTTCAGCTAAGGACAGTTTACAAAAGCCATCTTCACTTCCTTTAGATAGGCGACAGGTATAGCTATAGAGCAGGCAGAGGTATTCCCTCTTCTCAGCTGCTGGAAAGTGAAGAACTGGACTGTGACATTGAACCTCAAGTTCTCCCTTGCTAGGGCTGAGTACTAATGACAGAGGTGTAAGGGTACTTGAATATAAATTAAGTTCTGTTTTATTCATAGTTCTCTCTTTTTGAGACTATTACTCATGCGGCTTCTTTTGGTGCCAATGCTTCATGGAGTTTTTAAGATATTGATAAACTTGGTTGAAGATTTTATACCCTTTTATAAATCAGTGGGAAAGTGCCATCATTTATTCGAATGACAGCAGCATCAAAACAAAATAGAAACCAATACTCTATCATATAATGTTGTTAAAATAATAATGTTAAGAGTAAGCTATAAACCAAAACAGAAAGAAATAATTAAATCAAGGCTGTGGTAGGCTGTACAATGTATTGTCCTTCATTAGAGAGGTCTGTTGACAGCAACAGGTACATAGCCACCTTTATTCTGAATCCTCTCTCACGTTTTTATGCCTTCCTCTTAGGATTATTTTAACATAGTTGTTTTTTTTCTTGCTTAATCATATTGCAAATAATGTGTGATAGAAATTGAGGGAAAAAAAAGCCAGAAAAGGTATTACTCCATCTATCTGTGTTTATTCAGAGCAATCCTTTTCTGCAAGACAAAACTTTGTTTAAAGTGTTGATTTTTCCACTTAGAATATAATCCATTTGAACATTAGGTTGAAGGCACAAGCCCTGTGGACTTGACAATGCATTAAACACTTTTATGCTCTTTTACATTTTTAAGGGTTTCTTCAAACTACAGCTGATGAGTTTTGCTTTTACTATACAAGAAAAGATGGTGGCTTGTGCTTTCCAGATTTTCCAAGAAAACAAGTGCGAGGCCCAGCTTCTAACTATTTGGACCAGATGGAAGAATATGACAAAGTGGAAGAGATCAGCAGGTTCATAAAGATTAATACTGTTTAATCTAAAAAAACTGACAAATCTTTGTGGTTTTCACAGTGAATCAGCTCAGTCTGTGCTTATGCTCAGCAGCTGTGTCCTCCAGATGTTATTTTCTTTTTCTTCTGCTGCTGCTGTTGGTGTGCCTTTTTTATCACATTAACGTAGATATTTTTAATATGTAGGTTACTAATAAAGTATGAGCTGGTCCTTTCTGTGAATTATATGTACTTCATGTATGTTGTTTTTATCTGAAATGTATTACTAATCATTTACAGCACTATGGAAGTTCTTTATGTCAGATAATGTTATTTAAGTATTCTCCTTAAAATCCATCTTCAGAGTGAAATTTTATCAAATTCTGAAGTCATTGGGATTTTCAGTGCTTACTTTAGGAGAGAACTTGCCTATAAAATTCACTTTCTTCTCTGTGAATTTTGCTCTCAGATCTTAGGTTAGTTTACTTTAACTCCCAGCTGCTATGTAAACCAAATTCTACTCTTGTGTGCACATGGCTTGTTCTCATTGACTTCAGTAGGAGTGGCGACAGTGCATTTGAGGACAGAATTTGCCTTTAAAATTTTCTTTTTCTTAGGAGTCATGTTTTAAGAAGGTTTAGAGAACTGTATCTATTGCAAAATAAAAGAACCTCACAGTTTTTCTCTTATTTCCTTAGAAAGCACAAGCACAACTGCTTCTGTCTTCAGGAGGTTGTGAGTGGTTTGAGGCAGCCTGTTGGTGCAGTACACTCTGGGGATGGATCACACCGACTCTTTATCCTTGAGAAGGAAGGATATGTGAAGATTTTCACTCCTGAAGGGGATATAATCAAGGAACATTTTTTGGACATACACAAGCTTGTTCAAAGTGGAATAAAGGTTGGAATTATTTTTTTATTTCTCTCTTAACATCTGCTTATATATTAATCTAATTATTTATTACCCTCCCTCAAAATAATAGAGAACAGGAGCAATGCTTTTCAATGAAATACGTTTAAAAATATTCTAAATATGAAATATCATAGAGTTCCAACTGATAAGGAAAGAGAGCATAATGAAGAACTCTTCTTTCTTTGGTTAAAGGGAAAACACATTATTATGAGAACGGTATTCATTTTTTTCCCCTCTGTGCTTCTATCGTTTCCTTCCCTGGAATACACAGAAGGAATGTACAGCATCAGGACTACAAAGTTATCTCCACATTTACATTATTTAGGCCTGATTCTGCTACTACTCAAGTCTGCCAAACTTTGGCATTGACTTCAGTGGGAGCAGGTTTGAGCCATTTAAGGAATTATTCTCACTTGAATCTTTTGTTATTACCAATGGTTATCGTAAAAGCATGCAGAAGGGGGAGCTCTCATCACACTATCCAAGAAGTGTGGGGGGGGAGCTATCCTGTGTTTTTTAGCATAGGGGGAGCTGTATTTCCCTCCCCCATTCTTCAATCTCTGAGAACTACAAAAAATGCCCATTGTCTCGGGTATAGTCTAAAATATCTGGCACGCAACCTGTACCCTAAAAACATTTTATTGAACCTCTAAACGCATGCATACAAATTAGTGATTTTTTTTCTAGTGCTGATCAAGTTCTCATTAAAGTGAATGGAAAGACTACTATTGACTTGAATAGGAGCTGTAGTGGGGACCTGATGATGTGACATTATTATTCCTGGAGATGTTGGTTTTCAAGTCAGTATTTCTAGATGCAACAATAATATCATAGGATAAGTAAACATAAGAGAATTCAAAGGCAACCAGGTTATGTTTTAGTTAAAGTACATTTATTTTTATTCCAGTATTTACTTATGTAAATGTTTATACTAATAACTCAGCTGAAATCCTACTATGTGATATATAACATTTGTAACCAGGTTTTGCATTAAATAACTGCCATCTAACTTATTAAAAATCCTCCTTACATTAAAAAAACATTGGTGACATTAAAAAAACATGAAAACGAGCTATATTGATCTAAAGTATTTATTACATGCTTCATAGGTTTTTCGTGCATCAGATGCAATGCCATTGAGCTGATTTCAGGTATCCCACTTACATAGATGTATAAATACTGATTTAGTGAGTAACTTTAGACTCCTGTTATTTCAAATCCTGGCGAAGTGTTTATAAATATGATTTTGGGATGGTTGCATTACTCATGATTGATGAAGTAAATGTATGTGAGGCAGTCAATCAAATGTACATGATAACTTCAGTTTATGACACGGTTCTGCAGTTTATCATATGTATATTACCAACCATGTGTTGTAAATATTCACACAAGCAATTATATACATCTCTTCACATATATACTGTATATATGCATTCATTTCACTTGGTTCACACAAGAATCCACCCAACCAAAGTTGTTATGGGGAATTATAGATTATTGTAGGACAGTGTGTGTTTGCATATGCCTTAGATTTACTGCAGCAGTTAGTTATTGTCTAATGTCAAGACACATATTAATAAGCTAAATTAAAGGATTTTTAAAGGTAAGCAATGAATAGCCAATTCCAGAGCATAAACCCAGATTTAGCTCTTTGTGCCTACATACTGCACACAGTGGAATAAATTCACAGTGGAATAAATATTAATCCTCTTGGTTAATATTTGTACAACTCAATGTCAATAGAAAGCAGAATTTGTCCCAATATGTGCTTTAGCCCACTATTTAGCCAGTGCAGATCAGGCCATTAACTAATTTCTAGATGATTTACACATGGGTATTCCAATTTCTTGTGGCTTTCTGGAGAACAAGGTGTTAAAACAATTATTAGTGTGATACATTAGACATGAATCCTATGTATGAATCACCCTTCGGTCAAGAATCCTTCCCCCCCCCATTCCCACCCTCATCGGTCTCACTTTCCCATGGCCCTGACTAACTCGTTCCATTTGACTGCTCTATAAAAAAAGGGAAGGTGAGACAACACTAGCAAAAAATCACCACTGCTAACTTAACTGAAAGGCTGGGGGCAAAGGAAAAACAAGCAAGAAGCCAAGACAGTCCCCAGCTAGAAGGAATGATGGGTGTTCCAGTACAGGGGTCTGCAACCTATGGCTCTCGAGCCAAATATGGCTCAGTATGGAACCAAATATGGCTCTTCTGTCATTTCCAAACACATGCAACTTTTAAAATTAAAATAAAAAACGAATTCAAAATTTTAAAAATGCATAATTCCTCAGTTCAAGATGGCCCTTTCTTGTCTATTTCACCTTTAAGCAAGGGTGGAAGTAAGGCGATGTGCCCTGGTAAGAACTGGCTGCACTGCAGGAAGAGCCAGCTGGGGGACTCTGCTTGTTTAAAGGGCTGGCTGAGGGCATGCTGTAGGGATGTGTGTACTCTCCCATCAAGGACAGTGAGAGGGGCTAGTGGCAGCAGATGCCTCCATCTGGCTGCAGCAGCCCGGCTCCAGACCCCATCTGACTGCTGTGATCTGTCTCCAAGCACAGACCCCACATCCTGGCTCTGGTGGCCTCGTGACTGCTGCAACAGCCTGGCCACAGCAGCTCAGCTCAGACTGCGGCCACAGCAGCCTGGCCAACAAAGTTCCAATCCGGGCCCAGCTCTCATCTGGCCACAGCTTCCTGTAACTGGCCCTGATCATAGGGCAGGCCCCTTTGGTCTGGTCCCAATCTAGCTGCAGGAAGGGCTGGCAGCAGTCCCCCTCCAGCTGCAGCATGGTTAGGAGGGGAGGCCACGATCCGGCTGAGGCGATCTTGACCCAGTCCCTCGTCCAGCCACTGCTGCCAAGGTGCAGCAGCCCAGTCCCAGCCAGGTAAGGTAATCTGGCCCAAGGCCCATCCCTCCCATACTCTATTTCCCACCCCCAGCACCCTGTCCTGCCTCCTGCACCTCCCACACACTCCAACCGCCTGCCCTGAGCCCCTCATACAGTCCAATCCTGACTCATGCATCCACACTTAAACAAACTGCATCCCCAGCAGCAGCAGAAGTGCTATTAAATGAAATTTGTGAGTACAATGTTTTATTTATGCTGTTAATATTATTGATAACTGACACGATGATTAATAGGATGTATATTTTCAGTCATACAAATGAGCATTCTTATATGGTTCCTAGTTGCAGGACATCAGCTATCAGATGGGGAGAGGAAGGCAGGAGAACGCAGACAATGAATACATGCAGCCCTGCTGCACTAATAGTTATCTAAAACACCCAATAATTTCAAAAAATAGAAGAGAATAAAACCAAATATTTCTTAAAGATAATTTAAAACAGAAGTTCTCAAGCTTTTTACATTGTATATCATTATAAAAGAACCTCCTGTGAGCCACCTTTCTTCTCATTCCCATTCACACCAATCATCTTTTTTCCCATTCCCAGTCACATAACATCCCAGTGCCAGCTAGAGACACTGCTCACCAGGGACTTGTCTACCTGATTCTGGCAAAGCGCTCTACAGGGGAATGCTATGTAAAATGATCTAACATGTTTCATTTTAATTAGCATGATAAAAAAAAATTAGTTCCTGTTAACGTAATCCCCGTTTCAATTTTTTTAAATGCAAAGACTCTTTCACAGTCTGCATATTTTGCTAATTAGTGTTTCGGGACATGAGCATGCAGATTACTGACGTGATTGACCATGAATGGCTCAGGTCTGTTGGGGCATTGTAGCTGTGGGTGGGCTGACTGAATAAGAGATCGCTTTACAATACAATAAACATGTTTATTTCTCACTAATGTAACAAACTGTCTGTGTACATTTGTTACAATCAGCCTGATTCTCTCTTTGCAGTGGTGTAAATTCAGGAGTAACTACTGTGAAGTCAATTGATGTTCGGTAATGTAAGACCAGAATCACAGCCAAAATGTTTAAGTTCAGCGTTTTTCTATGCGTGACAAAAAAATTGGCCATTTTTTCTCCAAACACCAAAAAAGCTCTTTTTATATAGTTTTCATGGATTTTAAAGAAGAAACAGCCATTGGATAATCTAACCTGGCCCCCCTGTAGTGACACAGGATTCTCACCTAGTTATCACATGGCCCTGAGGGAATGAACTGAACAGATAATCAAGTGATCCATCCCCAGCCACCCATTCCTAGCTTGTCCTGTAGTTTAAGAGCTTGGATGAAGAGCTCACATGACTGAAGTGAACCTTCTGTTGGAAGATTTCCAACTGAAATTAATAAGAACCATTGACAATCTCTCCCTATCCACAGCCCCACTCCATTTGAATTTGATTTAACTAAAAATAATATTTTCACTTTTTGACAAAAAATGCTACTGGATTGAGGCTGTGTGCACTACATTTTATTTTTACAACCAAGTTTTAACCTCCCTAAAGACAGCAGCTTAAAAATTCTCAGATTAATTTGTATTTATATCTGAAATAGTGAGGGCCTGGCTATATACTAAGCAACAGCACAGCAAGCCAGAAAGTGAATATAAAGTATACCAGCTTGCTGTGCATTAATGAACTGTGTGGCCATTAGGGACGTTAAATTGTGGATAATTGACTAGTGGATGGAATTTCCATTGACTACTTAATTAGTTGATAATGGGGGGGGGACTGCAAAGCCACAGTGGGGCTAGCTCCCAATTGGGAGCTAATCCCCCTGTGGCTCTGCCTTTTAAATGAATTAAGAGCTGCCAGGTGCGAACCAGGAATCAGCCGATTCCCAGCTTGCTCCCAGTCCCAGATACTGCGCCTCTGCTTTTTAAATGTGTTAAGAGCCCAATGGAATCAGTCTCACCAGTCCATATACAAAAGTAAAAATCATCTCCCTACTCCTACTCAGTACTCCCCTGTTTATATATACATGGATGTCATTAGCCATTTTTCCCGATGCATCAACAGGGAGCTCAAGTAGCATTGCCAGTCCACTATGGCCCCTAAATCATTTTTTATT